ACAATCGAAGTTTGCTTCAATCTAGATTCGTCGCTCAAGTCTCGAGCTCACTCGCCTTACTCTCGAGCGAAACTTTGGGCAACATGCCCTTTGTATTTAGCTATTTTCCTATCCAAGTATAACTTGGATTCATAAGCCAACGAACCTCCGATCCAACCACAAGTGATAACCAACAATATACATCTATTCAAGGTCTCAAAACCAACCAAACAAACCAAATAGACCTACTTATCCCTATGGATATCAAATCTGGAAACCAGTTTAAAGAAGAACTTATAAATGACAGATTTGTCATCTTTCGGTGTTTTGGTCATAACTGTAGCTAGATATATCAGATCAAGATAAATTTTATGACGTTTCGAAATTAAGACATAGACCTACATTTTCTATGAAGACATCGACACTCAGTTCTCGCATTTTTAGGGACAAAAATGGACGGTTAGAAGCACATGAAAAACTGGTCGAGAAAATTAGAGTATTTGCATAGTCCTGAGTGTTCTGGCCAAATCATAAGCTAAAATAATCCAATTGATTTGAAATTTTGTAGGTAGAAAGTTAACTCAAATCCTTATAACTTTCATGTTTTGTCCAAAAGTTGATTCAGATCAAGATAAATTTTATGGCATTTCGAAATTAAGACATAGACCTACATTTTCTATGAAGACATCGACACCCAGTTCTCGCATTTTTAGGGACAAAAATGGACGGTTAGAAGCACATAAAAAACTGGTCGAGAAAATTAGAGTATTTGCATAGTCCTGAGTGTTTTGGCCAAATCATAAACTAAAATAATCCAATTGATTTGAAATTTTGTAGGTAGAAAGTTAACTCAAATCCCTATAACTTTCATGTTTTGTCCAAAAGTTGATTCAGTATAAACATGGATAAATTCGCAGGCCAAGTTGATTCCAAAAGCAGGGCATAACTGAAAATGCTGGAAATTCAACTATTAAGGCTAAAAAACACAACCGAGCCATTAATCATCTCACAAATTCCATATCCAAACTCAATAACAACATTTGCTAGCTAAACATCAATAATCAAAACTAGACCATACGAACCCTAGCTGAAAATTCCACTACCATCATCAAAACTAGAAAATCAACCATAGCAAGCCAAGATTAAAAACTTCTATAGCCTATTTAGTGAGATTAAGATAGAAATAAGAAGTGGAGGAACTTATACCTTTCAAAACACTTGAAGAAAGTGAAGAACCAAGCTCTTTCTTCTAAGACTTTCACCACTCCTAACTTCCTAAGCACCAAGAGGCAAGTTTAATCGGTTTAGATTTGTGGTTTCAATTCAAACAAGGCAAGATTCAAGGTTGTAGTTGGAGGTTTTCTCTCTTGTTTCTCTCCCAAATTTCGTCCAACACAAGAGCAAAATGAAGGAAATTTCGCCAAAAGGAAAGATAAAGAGAAAAGAAATGTTTTGGGTCAAAAGTTGCTTGGATCCTTGACACTTGTCACTCAAGATTTCCTTCTTATTTTTTTTTCTTTTCTTACTTTTCTTCAGTCAAAAATGGTGGCTGACTTAAGGGTAATTTAAGAAAAATTAAATGAAATAAAAATAAAGAGATTAGGGTAAGAAAGTATTGGTCAAGTAGAGTACTCAACCGGTAACAAACGGTGCCCGTCGGTTCAAGCCTATTTCCTTTACTCTCGCGTACTTGTGTTTTAACTTATGATTCACTAACTTATTAATAGCATTTCTAATCACACACTTTCTCTTATTTAAAATTCACTCTTAACTACCAAATTTAGTACACACCTCCACAATTAATCACACTACCAAATTACGTGAAAATCCTTGTTTACGCTAACTATAAAAGGACAAGTAAACTCTTAATTCTAAACTATTGAGGGAGTAAATGAGTAGTAAAAATATTATAAAGTAATTTAATCAAAATAAGAGGGAATTTTTTTGAAAATATGAGCGAATTTTCTAGTCATCACACTCTCTCTCCCTTAAAAAAATTTTGTCAAGGTTTTTGTTTAAGATACTTTGTTAAACCTTAATCTTCACATGTGTGTTGAATTTGAGACAAGGGAGTGAAATTTTGTTAAGAAAAGTTTCATTTTCTCAAGTTGTTAGAAAATCTAGAAATTTTCGCAGGAGACTCTGCGCAACTTTGGGAAATTGGTGTTAATTCCGTATAAAAAAGTCAAAACTGAGTTCCGTTTGTTGCGTTTGAAACTAGACTCATAGGAATTCCTACGGTATAAAATTCAGAATTTGATTCAATTTCTATAAATACCAGAAAATTGGCAAATTTAACTGAAAATTCTGCCCTATACAAGTAAAAACTGGAATGTTGTAGTAGTTTACGTCTGAATTTGGACTAACTTATGAATTGAATCTCTTTGAGGTGTCTTTTAAAGATTATTAGTATTTCAAGTCAATTTTTTAACAGGCCAAGTTGTATGAATTTTTTATATTTATAACTCAAATTATGATTTTTCTAAAGGAATGACATAAGTTAAGGTTTTGGTGCATTTGGGTAGTGTGATCACTTGATGAGATATGCGTACCAAATTTGCTAGATAAGAGAGGGTATTAAGTAAGAGGAAATATGTGATTAGAAGTGCTAAAAATAAGTTAGTGAATTATAAGTTAAAACAAAAGTACAAGAGAGTTAAGAAAGTAGGTTTGAACCGACGTGCACCGTTTGTTACCGGTTGAGTACACAATACTTTTTTTTCCTAATCTCTTTGTTTTTATTTTATTTAATCTTCCCTAAATTAACCCTAAAGCTGGCCAAAATTCTTGACCAAGAGGAGGAAGAAAAGAAAAAAAAAAAAAGGGGAACACTTGGCTTTGACAAGTGTCAACCATTCAAGCCATCTTTGACCAAGCTTTCTTCCTTACTTAATGTTATTTATTTCCACCAAAACTCACCAGATTTTTCCTACACTATAGGGCCGAGAGATAGGAGAGAAAAAAGGGAGAAAAGCTGTCTTCATCTTCACCTTGATTTTTAGCAAAAAAATGTGGGAAAACAACCTCCAATCCAAAGCTAAGTCATAGGAAGTTGCTACAAGCAAGAAAGGTGGGCCGGAGTGGAGTTATTTTGGGAGAAAGCAGGCTGTCTTTTGCTGCTCAGCTTGAGGATTTAAGGTATTCTTGGCTGAAAGTTATTTTATCCCCTTAATCTTGCAATCAGTTGGAGTTTTAGCTTGATTCTAGTAGGATTTGTGACTGGTTGTGTAGTTGTAGTATGTGGGCTGTTATGTCCAGCTTTTAGTAATCATTTCCAGCTTTTATTGAGTATTTTCAGCTTTCATATAGAGTTGTAAACCTGCCATGATGATTGTTCCAGCTCATGTGTGTGAATTTGGCTTTATTTGAGTGGTATCTAACTTTGTTAGTGATTTTCTAGCTTGGTTTAGGAATTGGGCAAATTAGGATTTTTTATTTTTTTGGTTTGGATATTAAGATGATTTTGTGCTGGACATACACCTAATTATGATGGTTATAAGGCCTAAGATAAGAACTCTTTGTTTCCTATAATTATGTGTTTGATTTGGGGCTGTTTTGTGGTGAAATTGTTACCTTGAAAATGGCTGGAAAATTAAGGAAAAACAAAGGAAATGCTATCCATTTTTTTTCTTGAAGTTCAAGCGAGCGGAAACGGAACTTGGGCGGTGATTCTTGGTTGATTTGAACTTAGGTTGCTTAGGGTATTTGAGTTCCCCTTAGTAGGGATGTATAAGCTGAAATTTTTGCCAAAACTTATATATTTCATAAGGAGGAAGTAGCGACCACTTTAAACAAGATTTTCTAATTTCTTATACCAAGTTGCGAATTTAAAAGTTTTAACCGCTTTTTTATCGAAACCAAAAGAGCGAGCATGAATTTTTTAAAGTTTAATAAGTAAAATGAGTACTATTTAAATGAGTTCTACTTACTTGATTTTCTTTAAACGAAACTCCTATATTTTGAAATCCTAATTGATTGCAAGTTGTTATTTGATATTTAATCGCAGATTTTGACTCTAGCCAAGGAGTTAAACCTGACCTTGGTTTTGAAAAGCAGTAAATTATTGGTGAGTGTTTCCAAGTGCATAATTGAACTTGATACTTGAATGAAATGCTTTGCTAATGTGATTGGATAGTACTTGACTTGTTTGGTCAGGCAAGGGTGTACTTTATCGCACTTGAATACTGTCTGGAATTCCAAAAACCCTGTGGTTAGTTAATTGAATCGAGCTGGCAAGGGCCTGGTCAATTAAATAACGAACCCTAGGTTTACTGTTTTGTCGAGTGGAGCGTTATCTTCTCGACTAATTGGTATGCTCGAGTATTACCACCACTATTTATATTGGAGTTCTGGCCCGGTAGAGGGATTGGATGATGGATGGAGATTGGAGTTAAATGGCACGCAACTAGACTGGTTACTCTACTTGAAAGTTGACGGAGTGTCAACTATTACTTGGTAAAGATATGGCCGAGTTAGCTCGCAAAAGCGACTGTATCCTTATACTTGAAAATGTTGGATATCTATTTAATTTGTTACTTGAAGTGTTACTGCTCATTTTTATGAATGTTTATGCTCTCTACTTTGATATTTCAAGTTTTTATATAATGTCAACTTGCTACTTGATTCTTGCATGATGTTTGGAACCTCACTGAGTTTTGACTTACCCTATTAGTTTTGTTTTCCTTACAGGATGTGCGAGCATAGACATGAGGCTGGGACAGGCTGGTGTTGTTTAGGTTTTTTTTTTACTTTTGTAATTATACTCACGCTAATGCTCGTCCAGGGTTTTGAAGTTCAACTAGAACTTGAATTTTTGTTAGATCTGAGTATGTATATACATTTGAGATAGACATGTGTATGGATATACATTCTAAGTCTGGGAACTATTGTTTCACTTACTTTTGAAGTTGTAATTTGTTTTCTTGAAGTAGAGAGAGAGTGAGTCCTGACGAGAGTTGGACAAGCGATTCGTCAAATCCTTGGGTTCGCCCTAGGGGGAGGTGGGGTCGTCACAGATTCTAGACATTGCAATTGACCTGCAAAGCTCAACATTCTAACTTCAATGACAATGGAAGGATGGCAATATTTTACCCAACTTACAAATGCATCATGAATACTTTTTTGTTTTTAAATTTTTTCTAGTAAGGGAGGGGTGGAACTTAAGAAATGCGAAAGGCGCAAGAGGATTTGAAGTCAGGACCTCTAATACCTGGGATTTTAACCTTAGCCAATAGACTAATGTCTCATTATCAACATGTGAATTTGTGTCAATTATTAATCATAAAATGGGGTGTAGTGAATCAACCCACGAGTTAACACGATTAATTCATTATTAATGTAGAATAAAATGACAGTCCCAACAAATAATATGACACCACTCACAACCTGATTGAAAAATCATCATAGTCCTATTTATTTCTTTGAACTTTCCCTAGAATTTATACTAAAATTTTAAAAATTTTAAAAAAAAATGCTACTTGAGTGTTATCCTAAATTTACGCTGAAAAGTTGGTAGTTTCCTTCCCAAATTAAAGCTTAAGGATTCAAATACTAGAATCATACACACACACATACACACATATATATATATATATATGCATAACATGTATTGAAGTCCATATTTGACAAATCCATATATACAACCTCTGTAGTTTTAACTTTCCTTCTCCGCCTTCATTTTTCCACGCTCAAATTAACGAGTACTTATCTTCAGATCTATTATTACTTATGTTCTCTTCTTTCCACTATGATCAAATGTCTTGTTTAAAGAAATTTTAGCACTTTCTTTCACAACTTTACCATTGTTTTTCTCTAATTGCTTTGAATGCATTCTTGCTTGTAGTGTACTTTTTTTGCATGCTTGTAAATGGGAGGTCTTGAATCAAAACCTCCCACTTACAGTCCCTCTCACCTTATCACTTTACACCAATCCTCCCTATTCTAATGAATTTTTTTTATTTCTTTGTCAAAAACAATGTTGGCCCTCTTTTATTGTATGGCTAATGAGATAAAAGAGATTGATAGAATACCATATTTTTTTGACAAGACCCTAATTTTACTCTTTTGCCATGTTTCATTCATAATTTTCATGTAAGAAGTTGAATGGGTCAATTAAATTAAAACTGACATCACATTATATGAACATATTATCAAGCGAACACAACACTAAAGTCAATCATGTCATATATGGGTTTTAGACTCATTCAATAAGAATATTATTAGAACATTGATTACTGATAGTAATGGTGGAGCTTACGAAATCAGTAACAAATATGACTAGATTTGATTAACCAATTTACACAACTATTTACTTACCTCGACGAACTTTACAGATGATAAGTACTTGCTGAGATAGACTGTCCTAAACGATCAAAATAGAATCCAATGTCAAATAGAGAACAAAACCAAGAAAATAAAATAAAGTTACGTTATGCTCATCGTGACCACACTATTGAACAGGAGGACTGTGACGACCCCACTTTCCCCTAAGGCGAACCAGAGGGTTGGCTGGCCGTCTGCCTAGCTCTCGCCAGGACTCACACAAGCAATCTAGCCCAAATCCTTCCGAAGAATAAACTAAATCCTCATTTAACTTCAAAGATAACAACATTTATAAGATAGCCAATCGACGGCTCTTAAACACTTCGTGCGTTACTTACAAGGATTAAAGCCATACCACACAAATACGTTCATACAAGCAGGATACCAGACTTAGGGTTACACTTTTCCAGCTTCAAGTGGCAACCAAAAATAAAAGGTACAGTGCTTAACGTAGAATTCATTACAAACCGAAATTTAAATTCAAGTTGTTCAAGTACATTCATAGGAAATATAAGCTGCTCAAATGCTTTCAAACTTCCCATCCTGTAAGGAAAGCAAATAAACGTGGAGTGAGCTAAAGCTCAGTGGTGCCCAGACATGCAATCATATAAACGAATAGCAAATAATAGCTTCAAACTTATATTCACAAGTAGGAAAGCGTATAACAGCACAGGGTAGGATACAGGGGCTCTCAGGAGCCATTTTCCTCGCTTGATCAAAATTACCCGCAGTTGACCCTCCATCAACTTTCACTATCTAAAGTCCATGTAGATTCATTATTATTATTATTATTATTTTTTTATAGACTAGTCGAGGGATTCACCCAACGACGTTGCGTCCATCATGAGGTTAGTATAGACTAGTCGAGGGATTCACCCAGCGACGTGGCGTCCAGCATGAGGTTATAGACTAGTCGAGGGATTCACCCAGCGACGTGGCGTCCAGCATGAGGTTATTATAGACTAGTCGAGGGATTCACCCAGCGACGTGGCGTCCAGCATGAGGTTATTATAGACTAGTCGAGGGATTCACCCAGCGACGTGGCGTCCAGCATGAGGTTATTATAGACTGGTCGAGGGATTCACCCAGCGACGTTGCGTCCAGCATGTAGATAGTGCAAGCAGGATATTCACGAAAATATTTCAAGCAAGCCACCACTCGAAAGAGCTAGTGCGGTAAAGTACACACTGCCCACTTCGATGGATCAGAAAAACATTTTCCAATTGTCACATATCAAGTCAAGAAAGCACTTTAATCAAGTAGGCATAGAACAAGCAGGGACACTCACCAAGAGTGGAGTTCAGATATCAAGTTGGGAATCGAATTCCGCGTCCTCGAAATATCCTAAAAACCAAAATTTGAAACTATGAGTTTCTACTTAGTTTTTAAGCTTATAGTCATTGAAGTATATCTAATATACTATTAATTTACTTTCCATAGAAAAATCAAGAATCTTTTAGATTGAAACTTAACAAAAGTAGAAGAGATGTTTCTTATAGTTTTCCTTGAGTTACTTTTCTTATAAAAGGGTAACTAGTATTATTTTCTTGAAATAATTCGATAAACCTCTTAATATCAATGTTAGAAAGTTACTTTGAACATTTCTTTAAAGTTACGGCCATTGCAAAAATTATCCCTAAAAACTATTTTTTTTTCTAAAATAGGGTTTCTTGCCGAGCAAGTTTCCCAGGCTTTTCGCTAAATTAATAAAACTCGTAATTCGGAACTTTTCCTATAGTTAACTATCCAATTTACAAATTTTAAAGAAAGAAAAGGAATTAAAATACGACTTAGAGTTTCCAAAAGCTATAGAACTCATTCACTATAGCTACCAAGGCTAGTTTGAGCTAAAGGAAATTATCGAGTTGGAAAGTCTTAGGCAAAACACTAGATATGGAGTTTTATAATATAATACTAGCTGGAAAAATATTTTTGATTGATTTGATCACAGTTACTCGATTTCTCAAGGTCGATACAACTTCCACCGCTCCGATTCCGTTTCGAAGTCATAACATGGTTCAAAATATGGTAAAAATCATAAAGCAAGTTACTAGGGCTTCGTCAATCATTAGCCCCAGATTTCAACAAGTGCATCTCTGAATAAAACAAAATAGTCAACCAAGGCTTCATCAATCATTAGCACTTGGTTTCAGCAAGCCCATCATAAACAATTAAAAATAAAAGTAAAGCCTCCAAGACATTCCAGCAATTAACTTTCGTCACCCTGTAGTACTTATAAAATCATTCAAATGGCCAAGGACTTCATCAACCATTAGCCCTTGACAAAATCAATTACTTCCAACCTCAATTTAATCAAGAATTTAAACCACAAGTAGGCTAAAATCTCAATCCAAAACCCAATTTCTATTTCACAAAGAAACAGGACATTCATGCAAAACAGTCCACTTTAAAATTTCACAGACAGTAGTACACATGGAGGAAAAATATGAAATTTCTACAGGACAAAGGCCTATGATTCTAGTTTCAAATGCCACTGACGGCGCCTTAAACGGATTTTTCTACATCAAGATATAAGCATTCTACTGAAACTGGTCAGGGACATCCGAAAATCTGAAGTTTCATTCTTTATTTGTGAAAAACTCCCTTTTCTCTTTTAACACCCAAATGTTTTTATTCAAACCATCCATACACTTCTTATAGAACCCCAAAACACAAACTCCATACATTTCCATCCATCAAAACTCAGGGAAAAAATTTAAAAATCAAGTTAAGATCCCAACTCAATCTTAAATTATCACATAAGAAATTCCAGCAACTAGTATACTTTAGGTCCAGCTTATCCCTTGGTTTAAACAGGGTGTTAGATATTCAATTTCAGCATTTAAACACTTAGCTAGCTATTAGAAATTTCCACTTCGAAACCAATTTCATTCAATGACTAGAATCATCCAGAAAATCCAGAAATAGTTTAAAATCCAAAAGAAAACAAACTGGAAATTTCTGATCATACCCCTCGGCTAATCCAGAATTTTTCCAGCCTTGAGTGTTTATAAATCCAATTTTTCTTGGCTAAAACATGGTTTAAGATACCCAAAATAGTCATGCAAAAACTTATCTAGCTAATTAATATTTCCAATTCAAAATTTAACTCAAACAACAGCTGCAAATTCCCAAAATTTCCAGAATTTCTGCACAGCTAGCTTCGGACAACATACATGCAACAGATTGCATTTTTATTTTATTTTTCTGGTTTAAACTAACTAATTAGCTGCATGCAGAGCCTAATTAACTTGTTATTAATCATCTAATCATGGTTATAAGTTTAAACAACAACATTAAACCAAATCAAGCTGCAAAACTTTTAAGCTAAGCTCTCAGCCAAACCAGAAATTCTTCCAGCATTTGTTTAGTCACAACCAATTTTTTTTCTACGGTTAAATCCTGTATTTTACACTTAAATTTCACATGTACAACTGCTGAACTTAACTAGCTATCATATCCAGACCAGAAATCAGTTTGACAGCAACAAAATTGAACCAAGTTAAGCTGTAATAATTAAGCTAGGCTCTCGGCAGAAAATTCTTAACCCAAACCAGAAGTTTCCTCTGCTTTAACACTTCATCCGAATGTCCAATTCAACATGCATGGTCTTAATCTTCAAGTTTTCACTCAGCTAAAGACACTTAGATGTTCAGATTGTCACATAAAAACACAATTGGAGCTGCAATAACACCTCAAATTCTCGGCAGTAACAATTTCTCAAAACAGAAATTTTCCTAATGGTTTGATTTCAGCATCCGATTGTATAATCTAAACATGCAATCTCTGATATAGCTTGCTCAACTAAGAAACAACCTAATAAGACCAAAAATTACCTCAGATAGCAGCTAAACTTTCACACGAAAATTTTCCAGAAATTTCTTCCCTAACTCTCGGCCAAGTGTAGTCGGTGGTTCTTGTTTCCTATGTTGCGGCTGGAATTGAGTGTAGCTGGTAGATTTGTGTTCGGTTGGTTGTAGTTGGTGGAGATGAAGATGAAAAATGGTGAAGCTTCCTGCAGATCTCCTCCCCGGCTTCACTCCAACTCATGGCAGGACCAGAGAAATTTCTGGCAGTTCACTTTCCCTCCTCCTAGCTCTCGGATGAAGCTCACCAAGTGGCTCTCCCTCTCGGATGCTCTTGGTCGAATGCAGAGGAAGAGGTATGGTATGTTGAGGAGAGAAATTGCAGTGGTTTCGGTGGAGTGTGCAGAGAAGGAAATGAAACGGTGGGCGGTGTCTTGGTATTTAGAAAGGAAGAAATGATTTGTGGTTTTGGTTTTGTGCAGAGAAGGAAACTGAATTTGTGGTCTTAAGCCGTGAGATAGATTGGGTGGTTTTGTGGTGCCGCTGTTTATGAGAATGGTTTGCGTACAGATTTGGAAATAACAGAGGTGATTTGATTTGCGGTCAGACGTCTTGTTTGGTTTGCATGGAAAGGTAAGGGTATTTTAGTCTTTTCACTTTGCTCCCTAACCTCAACTTAATTTCTCAATTCTAACTTAATTCTAAAAATTATCCCCAAGCGTGATTTAAACTCCTAATATACCTAAACCATTTTTATCGAATAATTATCGATTAAACTTGAATATTAAGGTTCCTAGTAATTCCTACATTATTTAGCGATTAAATTAGTTATTAGAATTTCCAATTATTATTTCTCAAGAAGTAAAGTTAGTCTAACTCAAAATTTATCGATTAGTAATATAAAGTCAAATGAAATAATGATTTAATCCAAGGGTGTCAATTTGCACACACAAAAATTATTTTTACGCACTTACTTGAAAAACAAGGAAAGATAAGGATATATTTATCGAAATTTTCACACCTTAAGTATGTTTAGTATATTAGAATCATATTTATCTAAAGCTCATTGGTTTTTATCTTAACACGGACATTCTTATTAACATTTAACATTAGCAACTAATTGAAATTAATCGTAGGAATTAAATAATTTATTTTGAGATCGTAATTCTATTTACTCAAGTATCATTACTTTAGGATTAAAGACTTAAGTATTCTTACATTTAATATTAGGGCGAAAAATTAATCTAACCCTAAAGATATTAATTTACTCTAACAAAACCAAGAAATTTCATAACTTAGGAAAATTATATTATTTTTCACATAAACCTATTTTTACGTACTTAATTGCGAACAAGTAAAAGTAATGCTAGAAATTATTAAGGAATAAAAGAAATGCAAATAAAATATGCACTAGTTTATATATATTTTTCAGGGTTCTCACAAGGACTGGAATTGATAAATTGCATAGTAAATGATGTTGCATATGCAAACAATTTCTAACTTTTTGAACCCACATAGAGAACCCAATCATTCAGAAATAAGTACAAAACCAAACAACCAAAATAACAGCCATTTGGCTTTTGTCATCATCAATTATTCAAATCAATCAAATGCAAAAAGAATCACATTACATTGAATCACGAAACCTTATTGTCTTTCATTATTTGCCAAATAGAGAGCAAAACCAAGAAAATAAAATAAAGTTACGTTATGCTCATCGTGACCACACAATTGAACAGGAGGACTGGAATTGATAAATTGCATAGTAAATGATGTTGCATATGCAAACAATTTCTAACTTTTTGAACCCACATAGAGAACCTAATCATTCAGAAATAAGTACAAAACCAAAAAACCAAAACAACCATTTGGTTTTTGTCATCATCAATTATTCAAATCAATCAAATGCAAAAATAATCACATTACATTGAATCACTTAACCTTATTACATGTAATGAAAGACAAATCTCACCTTTTATTTTTATGGCATTAACAATTAAATAAAGCTTTCTGAAAATGTAAAAGTGAACTGGCCAGTTGAAAGCCATATCAATATTTTGAAACTACATTTTTCATTGATACATAATAACATAAACATCTTTAAAATAGCAGATATTTGAAGCACAAAAAAGATCCTAAAAAGGCCATGTCCACCTTACCTTTGTCAACATAGCTAGCATCCCATATAGATAAATACAAAAACATTGGCTTCCCACAAATTTTTATTTTTTCTTTGTTCTTCTGACCATCTTCCCATCAATCACTGACTTAATTTCATTGGCTTGAACCCAGTAAGAAGAATCAAATCCCACATCGTCTACAGCCTCTCTGTGTCCAAAACCTACCACACATAGAACTCATAGGTTGGTAACTTCTTCAGCATTCAGCAGTCAGCCAGCAATAAGTATGGGAGATTCGTGACTTTAAACAACCTCATGAGGCATAAAAAGGTCACATCAAAATACATTTGAGATAAAAATGTACTAATACAATTGAATCTAGTCCCCTAGTGACAAAATAAATTTTTGCAATGGATCAGCCCTCAGAACGTGAAATTGATTGGGAACATTTGAGAAGAAAATGTGCATTGTCTAGAAGTGAGACGCATTTACTTTCTTACAGGATGATTTTTTTTTTTTGGTGTCAAAGTCAGCTAATGATTTCATGTAACTATTGTTGCAATAGTACACATTGCCTGGAAGGCATAAAGCCATTCCTCATCTTCCATGGTGTTAGATGAATAATTTGTTATTCTATTCATGAGACCGTTCTATTCTATGAACAAAAGAGAAGAAACATCTATGAATTATTGAGCTAAGTATCTAAATGTCCTCCATAATGGTTGCTAACTTTGCATTAGAGCATCTTTCTTGAAAAATTTGGGAAATCAGATTTTTTCTTAATGCTTACAATCTATACCTTTCTCCACCTTTGTTTACCATCTTACATAACGGTTAATGCTACAAAAATGGCAAATTTGACTGGTGTGAGATGAAGATGTACATAAATTTGGGACAAAAATGTACCATATATATTAGGGAAAATTTGGAAAATGATTTTAGAAAGAATGCAAATTTATAAAAAGGATATAAGTTTTAGCTAATTCATAAAAGGGCATGGACTACTATTCAAATATCATTAAGAAATAGGTTTGGTATGAAGTTACATAATTGCCCTTTGAGCATTGATTGTTGACATGTATTGCCATATCATCATAATAGACCCTTGATGACATGGGACTGCCACATCATCAAAAGATAAATATGATAAGTATGACATGGCACTAACACATAATAGAGGGCCATACTATTCCACTTTTATTAAGATAACTATGAGCATGTTTGAAATTCAATAATTTCCAACACCTTGCTACTATTCAAGGTATGGGCTAATGAATATTATTAGAGGGGATTTATGATAGATTCCAAATGTATTAGATTTCTTCAAGAGGTTGAATCTCATTTTTAAGGATACTTTTCAGGAATCAAAAAAATTGTATTCCCTTTTCAGCATTTTTTCTACTAATTACTAATCTAACAGTATTTATGTCTTTTTATCGATCATTAATGCTAGCCGTTAGTCAAGGAGGGAAAGTGTAACACAAATAATATTGGAGTGGAAATGTAAAAGGCACCAAATGTTAGGAGGGTTTAGTGCATTTAGCCAAAAAACTATCTTTTTTATTAGTTTTAGAAATTTGAACTTCTGTTGATCAAATTCTTCAAGAAATTAATTTTCATGTTCAACAAATTAATTTTCATAGATTAAAAATAATTTTGAAGAAAAAATTACAAATAAATATATTATTGTATATGCACACATATAGGATATATCTTAGTCACTAATTTTGAATAACATGTCACTTGTTAAAAGTGCCTATGAATAGGGAAAAATAGAGTTTGACTTACCTTTAGTATTGGGACAAAAAAGTCCTTTCATGTGTTTTATGATGGAGTGTGCTTATTAGAATAAAAAAGAAGTATAAAAAAAGAAATAAAAAGGAATAATCAATTGGTTGCAATGGATCTTCTATCCCACCCTCTGTGCTACTCTATATCCCATTTTTATTATATTGCTATTTCTTCTCCACAAACATCATATTTTAGTTCTATTTTGCTTCCTTATGATCCAATAACTGTTAATTGAGTAGTTTTAAAAAGTAATATATAATACAAAATTAAAAAAAATAGCAAAAAATTCATAAAAAATCTCATTTTTTATGCATTTTGATTTTTTGAATTTGTTACACTTTTTGTATTACTCAGTTAATAGTTATTGAATTTTAAGGAAATAAAAAAGAACTAAGATATGATATTTGTGAAGAAGAAATAGTAGTATAATAAAAAGTGGGACCTAGAGTGGCATAGATAGTGGGACAGAAGATCTGTTGCGAAATCTAATCCATGATTATTGATTTTGTAAGTGATGAAGTGGTAAATTTTAGACCACTTAGTCCATAAGTGGAGCCACATACCAAGTGTACCCAAGTTTTTGCTTTTGATTAAAGTGAAGTGTAGAGAGAGAGAAAGAGTCAAAAGAAGAAGATGGAGGAGGAGGAAGGAAAGAAAGGTTGGGAGAATTAGTGAATGATTTTGAATTGCCTAATTTTGAATAGAAAATTTCCAATTTCATCCTTTAGGATTCAAAATTTAAAAGTTGAATTCCTCTTTCCAATTTTTTGGTTTAAAATTTTCAATTTCAAAATTATAAATCCAGTTGAAACTTGAAATGTGTACTTAATAGTAAAAGTCAAATTCCTTCCCTCATTTCTTTGTTTTACATTAACTTAATGGAGATGATGTCGCAAAGAGCTAGGACAATATGCGGCTAATATGTTTTTTTTTCTTTAATTTGATGACGTGATGTTTTGTGAGCCACTTAATTTTTAGGATCTAATTTTGGCCATGAAAGCTTCCTGGGCGATTAGCCTATAGTAACCATCCAGGCTTGAGTCCGGGAGCAGTGGAATAAGATCAATTGTCAGACTACTTGAAGGCTTCTATATGACACTTCTAAATTTGCATAAGGAACTTGAGGAAGATTTAGCTGAAAAACAAAGTGTAAGGATCGAAGACAACCAAGTGGAAGAGATAAACAATGTAAAGATCACAAACGTAACAATAAGTAAATAAAAAGGAAAGAATTGCAAACCAATTAACTACCCAACTCCTCTTAAGCTTGTAGATTAATTCAAACAAGCTTCTTCAAGTTGATGAATTACAATCACTCTTGTGTACAAATGAAGATTCACCTCCTCTTTGCCCCGAACCCCACTCGGTCAAGTTAGAAAGTTTTACTATCCCTCAGGACAACCCTCACAGAGCTACACTCATGAAGTATTCACTCACAAATGAAAAGCTTACAATGAATCTCACCCCATTAAGACTACAAATCTTCTTTGGAGAGTATTTTCTCACTAAAACTATTCTAGATCTTTTGTATTTCTAGTGTGCAAAAGTTGTTTGAAAATTCTGACCATACTCTATTTAGAGGAGACTAACAAAGTG